GATTTGGATATAGCTCCCATATATATCTTCATCCGATTTAGGGTTAAATGTGCACTAAATGGTCAATATCAGCCCAAATCACCTGAATTTTCGTACATAAGACCGAATTCAGTCTAGAAGCTAATACGTAAAATTTGGAGAAACCCGGTTCAGAGATAGCTATAGTTCGTAAAATGCACGATAGAATTAGATAGATTTTGATTTTGTACCAAATATCTCATAGAGCTCTGAAATGCCCTGTATAAACCTTTTTACGAGAGCTCTACTAAATATGCATAGTGGTGTAGGGTATCATATAGTCGGCCCCGCCCGACTTTTGAGCTTTCCTTACTCGTTTTTTTCATGTCATCGTGGAACTTTAAAAGGTTCTTAAAAGTTCGTAGAATAACTCATATTAAACAATTTAATGTTTGTTTTTTTTTTAACTCAGCTACTTAGAAAAAAGATAAATTTCAACTTTTAATACAACAAATACCCATACCAAGCCAAACAAGCAAGTTGTATTATTAATTTTTTTTGGATAATCTGTTAATTTGACATTTTGTTAAAACCAATCCCCTTACGCCCCCCTTTGAATAACCATTCAAATGTTTTTTTGTTAACAGCTGCACTTTTGACCCTTTAACAATCCAACAAAACAACAACAACAATAATAAAGTTATTAGCAAAAACAATACCTCATTTGACATTACTGCTAGATTGTCATGACACGAGCATTGAAAACAAGGAGTGACTTCACACTCTGATTATGAACGATTACAACGAGAGGTGTTGAAATAAATCAACATTTCATTGATGGCTAATAAATTTTGGTGGGGGATTCCAAATTTGGGAAACAAAAACGAAAAATACAACTAATGAATTGTCACCAATCACCATTGAAGGTGTGATAAATTATGGCTAAAGTATATGCATGTAAGATCTACAATGGTGAATTATTTAAAGAACAAAACTGTTAATTTTTAAAGCATACTTTTAGGAAACATGGGAGTTGTAATGTTATCTGTTAAATTACTATTAGAAAACACCGAGAGATCTTCTAAACAAGTTCTTGGGAAAATATACACTCAGGAATCGCCTATCGATTCTACTTTGAAATATCCTCTTCCCCGCTGTGACCGCCTAAAGCCATTATCTAGCCACTGCCTTCAACTCGAAATTATTCATGACACTTTATTGATTGTCACCGCACATAAAAACAAATTCAAATTATTTTTGTGATTTGTTTTGTGTAACGCCTTCAATTTTGTCAATTTTAGGCTGCCGTTGCAATAATTTTGCCACTCCGTCTAAAGGCATCCCCGACCGATCGATGTGGTAGTGGGCGTTTCACATGTCAAATAATAAAAATGATACGAGGATTAAAACTACAAAGTGTTTTCGAGCTGCCTTATAGTCTATAACAGCTAAATAGTTGTAAAATCTCCAAGAGGCAGTCATACAGAGAGACGGGCGGGATTGTAAGTTGTAGCTGCGCTAAGTAATCTGAGTGCTGCAAACGCATTTGTTTATTTGACACATTTAATTGTTAATGTTGCACAGTGTTATGAGACAGTTGTTATTTATTTATTTTTCATATGTTTTTTTTTTTTTCTTAAGTCGCTCACACACAACCTGTCACGGCTGGAGTTCGTTGCCAGCATTGAATGTTGTCGCCTGTCCTTCATTTGCATATGTGGAGGTGGACGAGTGTCCACACAAATTATGTGTGACAATTACAAATGTAGGGCTGCACAGAAAAGCTAACGGATGGAGGTGGAATCCTGAAATTAACGTTACTGACGGACTGTAAAATTGGGATAAGGTGGTAGTTTTCGAAATTTGTACTTATGTGGACGAAAAATACTAAACGGTACCATTTCGATTTGGGTGGACCGATAAAGCTGGAATGAATTTGGAAATAAAATTACTATTACATTGTATAACTGAGGTATGTAGGCAGTCTTGAAAATTCGTACCTATGTGTACTAAATTGTACTGTTTGGTATAATTTCAATTTTGGGAGAGCCGGTAGAGTTGGAGTCCTGAAATTTGGAAATTAGATTACTCTTGCATTGTAGAATTGGGGTATGTAGGCAGTTTTGGAAATTCGTACTTATGTGTACTAAATTGTACTAGATTTGGTACAATTTACATTTTAGGAGAACCTGTTGAGTTGCAATCCAGAAGTTTGGAAATAAGTTTTCTATTGAATTGTTTGATACAGTTGTACAGTTATTGAAATTTGTACTTTTGTGTACTGAATTTGCTACAATTTGGATTTGGTTGAACCGATAGAGTTGGAATCCTGAAATTTAGAACTAAGATTACTGTCAGAGTGCTGGATTGGGATATAGATGTAGTTTTGGAAATTTGTACTTATATGTACTAAATTTGGTAGAATTTGAATTAGGTGAACCGATAGACTGGAATATGGATGTAGTTTTGGAAATTTGTACTCATGTTTACTTAAATGTACTAAATTTGGTACAATTTGAATTTGTTTGAACCGATAGGAATGGAATCTTGAAATTTGGAACTAAGAATACTGTTAGAGCGTAGAATTGAGGAGGTTTCGGAACTTCGTACTTATGTATACAAAAGGTACTGAATGGTACTAAATTTGGTATTGACTGAACGGATACTACTTTAGATCTGATATTTGGCATTAGGATCACTGTTAGTGGCATTAGGATCACTGTTAGTTAGTAAGGTTGAGATTTGGAGGTGGAGGTGGTGGAATTACGTACTAAAAACTACTAAATGGTACTAGATATGGTATTAGGGTAAGGGATTGAGTTGGAAGTCTTAAATATGGCAGTGGGATTACCTTTGTGCGGTTTAGTTGATACTTGTCGGGGGATTTGGAAATACGTACTAAAAAGGACGAAAAGTACTAAATAGTATTAACATTGGTATTTCGGGAATAAATAGAACTGGAAGTCTGAAATTTAGTATGAGAGTCTTTGAAGGGTTTTTTGAAATTCTAACAGTACGTGTACCAAAGGTACTAAGATCCACTAACTTTGCTACCATTTGGAATTATGTGTATGTTTTTCGAAATACGGAGATGTGTACTATAATTGTACGAAAAATACTAAATGGTACTAAATTTGGAATGGGGTTAAGGCATAGAGCTGGAATCCACAAATTTTATAAAAATGTCACTGTTGGTATCTGTGGTTATAGCATATGGATGTGGTTTTGGAAATATATACTGTAATTGTACGAAGAGAACTAAAGAGTACTAAATTTGATATTGGGTAAAAGAATAGAGTAGAAGTACTGAAATTTGCTGAAACTGTTGGTATCTGCGGTCAAGATATGGAGGTAGTTTTGAAAATTTGTACTATAATTGTTCGAAAAGTACTAAGTTGTACTCAATTTGGTATTAGGTGAAGATATTTTGATGATTGTAGCGACATTATTCACCGGAGATGTTTCTAATTTCGTCTTTGCAGTTTGTAATGGGAACTAGACTATGACAAAAAATTGTCTATGCAGTTCCAGGTATTCGTATTGTCCCAGAATATATTCGGTATTTTGATGATTTTAGCTACATTACAGGGTAGATAAAAAACTGCAACAAAGTCAAACGCCATAATTTTTACTTTTTTTTAAATTTTATTGAATGAAAACAAAAAATGTCGGAAATAGCATCAAATTTTAGAATAAGTTTAAATTTGTTCGAATTGGTCACCTTTGGCACAAATTATGGCCTTCAAACGGCCAGTCACACGCTGCCCGAATGTGCTTTGCGGTATTTTGGCCCATTCCCGGCGAAGCGACACTTTGGTATTTTTTAGTGCCAACCTTGCTTTCCAAAATAGTCCAACGGATTGGTATCCGCAGATTTTGGTGGCCATTATGCGCTGGGAATGAACCGAGGAACCTCATTTTGTAACCATTCTTGGGCATACTCCGTGCTCAGTGCGATGGTGCTGAGTCCAGTTGGAATGTCCAAGGTCTGCTGCCAAAATGTTTGCGTTTCCAAGGCCTTAATACACCCTCCAGAATATTTTCGCGATAATATTCGGCATTGATTCTGATGCCACGGTCTATTAATACGAGCGGAGAGCGACCATCAGCTGTTATGGTGGCCCACACCATCATCATGGCTGGCACTTGAGTTCTGGTGCCAACCGAAGGTCCACATTTTCAGCAACTCCTCACCTCTTAAGAGTCTATTTTCTTTCTGTTGTGGTGTAAGTTCTTACACTTTTTAGAATTTCAATGGCTTTTTTTTTCAATGTTTTTTTTCATTTTTCGAGCTCATTTTTCAATATTTGCCGAATGGAATATTGCGATACGTTCAGCTCGCGAGCCATTTTTCGGCCACTGCGACGCGGGTTTCGATCAAGTCACTTCTTTGCTTTTCGAACCATTTCTGCTGATGTTGCTGTTTTCTTCCGTCCACTTCCTTGACGTCGGGCTACGAGACACAAAAGGTTTATTCACATTTAAATGCTGGAGTGCTCTAACGATAGCCACTTGTGGTTTTCCAGCCAAATATCAAGAAATCACATTATCACGTTTGAATTCCATCATGAATAACTTTTTTTCTGGAAAATTCTCACCAAAATGCTTTTATACGCTTGTTAACAATATAATGAGCTGTCACTGGAATAATTTTAACAGCTGTCCAACGAGTGGCTTAGAAATGACAGCAGTTTTTGCAGTTTTTTCTTTTTCCAAGTTTCGTATTCGAATATTGTATTGGCTTATTACAAAAGTGGCCTGTGCAGGTCCACGTCTCCGTATAGACGCCAAAATAACCGCTATATTCGGTAGTTTTAGATTTTCACAGAATTTTTAACGGATTTAATTTTTGTTGAAAATTTTCAAATTCTTTCCAAATAGTGGAGCGTATTCAAAGTTCTGTCCGGTCCTTTTAAATATTCAAAAAAAAAATCTAAGATTTTTGTACTGATAGAAAAATTAAAGTAATGTGTCCGTTAATTCCCAAAAAATGATTCTTTAAAATATCCGCATTTATTATAACTCTATTGATTCCACATAGATGTGTATTAAGTAAAAAATTGTTTTTTTCTTAACTTTATTTCATTTAACGGGGTCTTATTATCATTTCAACAAATTTCAAAGAATAATTGTGGCCTCTAAACTCATACCAGTTAATACCTTGGGCATACTCCTTAGTGGTGGCCCTCAAATATCTTCCATTTAAGTTACTACAAAAAAAACAAACACATACTTCAATTTACCATCCAAAATAAATACCTAAGTCGCCCGCACAACCTACCTATGATGACATGCATTATACCACCAGGCACCGGTGTATTCATTGGCACAAGCCTTCTCATACGAATCATTGTCCTGATCATAGGTAGAAAACTTTTGACCTAAATGTATTGACAATGCATCACCGGCGGAACCACTGTAGCCACCTAAACTTTTGAGGACATACTTCTCCTTTTCACTGCCCACAATGAAGGCATCGTATTTGGCATAGCGTCGATCACCCTCCCAGTCTTCCATAACGATTAGCAGTTCATAGGGGCGAGAGTTTGTGAGATTATGTAACCGATCCAGGCCAATGAAGAACTCTCCTGATCTATCGCCAAAGCCCTCTTTATAGTCCGACCAAGGACGAAAGAAATTCACCGAACCATCCTTGCGCCGTTGTATCACAATATTACCACGATCAGAGGGGTTTTCATTCAACGTTTGGAGACGCCTTTGTATTGTCTTGTCCAGCTGTTCAATTTGATTCTCCAATCGAGTGATTTTCGAAGACAATTCATTTATGCTGATTTCAGTGGCACTAGCAATCTTCAGAAAATTGAAAAAAAAACAACAATTTGAAACATAATTAATTTTATATTTTTAAAATTCATTTACCTTAAACTGCCTGTGTTTAAATTTTAGGGGACTCACAATAATCAGCAGCATCAAAATAATTGATTTCATTTTTTTTTAATTTCTTGTCTTATTCTCCCCAGTACAGATGCGATGTCAAGATTCCAAATGACTCTCTTCAAATAAAACTGTATTTTATTGTTATTCATTTATATACCAAAACAAATATTCTTATCAATAAATTTATTAAAAAATAAGAATAAAACAAAAAATCCCCATACATAAGGGGGTTGTATGAAAATTTTGGTGTTCGAATTGAATTATTTTTATAGATAAGCATTTTCTTAATAGACAGGCTTTACGAGAGAATTCGTAAAGGGAGATATTCAAAAGGCTTTTTTTCTAAATAGAAGGCTTTCTGTAGGTCTTTTTTGCAAATGTTAGACTACTAGCAGATGCCCGCTATCGTCAACGAAACGTCCTCCCCTAAATTTTAGGCCTTTTTATTACTCAAAATGTACAATTTGTTCAGTTTTACAATTTTTTTTTTATCAAAACTTCATGCGTCAATCAAAACCAGCTATTTCTCCTAACCACAGACACCAACAGTCTCTTCCTTCATGCAATACCAAATTTAGAACTATAGAATTCCAAAACTACCTCCATATTCCAATTCCAGATACCAATGGCGACCTCAATATTAAATTTGAGGATTCCAGCCTTATCCCTTCACCCAATAACACATTCAATACTTTTTGTACAAAACCACCTTTATGCCTTAACTACAAACACCAACAGCGAAATCTACATCAAATTTTAGGATTTCAACTTCATTCCTTCACCCAATACCAAAGATAGTACCAATTAGTACTTTTTGTACAATTATAGTCCGCATTTTAAAACAATCTCCATGTCTCAACCTCAGATACCAACAGTGACCTCAATATCAAACTTTAAGATTTAAACTTATTTATTTTTTCCCCTTTGCCAAATTTAGTACAATTATAGTACGCAGAATCAAAATCAGATCCTTCTCTCACCCACAGACACAAAGAGTGACATCTATATGAAAGTTCAGATGAAAAAACTGCAACCAGCTTCGACTGCAGTCATTTCTAAGCCACTCGTCCGAGAGCTGTTAAATTTATTCCAATGAGAATTTTCCAGAAAAAAAGTTATTCCTGATGGACTTCAAGCGTGACAGTGTGATTTCTTTATATTTGGTTGGAGAACCACAAGTGGCTGTCGTTAGAGCACTCCAGCATTTAAATGTGAATAATTCGTTTGTGTCTCGTACCATCGCTCGTTACCGTGATACTGGTAGCGTAGTCCGACGTCAAGGAAGTGGACGGAAAAAAAAACAGAAACATCAGCAGAAATGGTTCGAAAAGTAAAGAAGCGACTTGATCGAAACCCGCGTCGAAGTGACCGAAAAGGGCTCTTGAGCTAAACATATCGCAATATTCCAATTCGGCAAATATTGAAAAATGAGCTCGGGGTAAAGTCATTAAAATTCCAAAAAGTGCAAGAACTTACACCGCAACAGAAAGAAAATAGACTCAGAAGAGCTAAAGAGTATCTTCGCTTGGTCGAAAGTGGTGAACTGCCGAATTTGGTTTTCTCCGATGAGAAAACATTCGTTGTCGAGCAGTTTGTAAACAAACAAAATGATCATGGATCGTGTTTACTTGCCAAAGAGGTCAGCTGAAAATGTGCGCCTTCTGTTGACCACCAGAACCCAAGCGCCGGCCATAGTGATGGTGTGGGCCGCCATAACAGCCGATGGTCGCTCTCTGTTCGTATAAATCGACCGTGGCATCAGAATAAATGCCGAATATTATCGCAAAAATATTCTTGAGGGTATATTAAAGCCTTGGGCACGCAAACATTTTCCAAAAGGACTCAGCACCATCGCACCCAGTACGCCACACCCAAGAATGGTTCCAAAATGAGGTTCATCGCTTCGATTCCAGCGCACAATGGCCACCAAAATCTCCGGATACCAATCCGATGGGCTATTGTGTCTGGAGTACTTTGAAAAGCAAAGTTGGCACTAAAAATAGCACAGTGTCGATCACCTCAAGGTTATAGGGAGGTACCCATATATATTTGGGGCTATATGAAGACACGGACCTGCATATACAAATTTCTGTCTTGGGCTGTAGTGCCGACGACAACAACAAATTAACAATTCCGGTGAACAATGTCGCTAAAATCATCAAAATACAAGAGGTACAGGTATATGGGGGCTACAAATTAATGTGTGCCTACATAGTCCATTTTCAACACCAAAAGCCCTGCATATATTATTTTATTTAACATTTAATATTTACGTATAAACCGCAATTTTCATACCACCCTTCATCATAAATTTCAATAAAAACAAAGTATTTGCGAGAATGTGATTAAAGACCTATTCCATTTCAAGGCGTTCGGTTCACACAAGCCAGAGAAAAGAAATGTGGCATTTAAAAGGCAATATTAAGGTGTGTCCGATTCTTTGGCTTATTTTCAACATTTTCAATCACATTTCAATGGAAGAAGTGAGTAAATATTTCAAATTTATAATTCAAAATAATCTAAAATTCCCTAACCAACAGATAACATCCTTGCCATTGACACACATACAAATACAACAGTGCCCCACCGCTAATGCCAACCTAACACAAAGCCTCAATGAACTGAACGAGAATTTCCGACACTTGATGACCAGCCATTTGGAGTTCCTTGAAAAACTTCAAATTCTAGAAGAGCGACAGCTCAAAGCGGAGCAACAGCAATTGCAACAACAAAACAAGTTGCTGCAAAAACTTCAACAAATTGAAAATTTAACAAAAATTTCAGAAACTGTTATACTACGCCGCCAGGATGGTTCCGTGGATTTTGATCGCACCTGGCAAGAATTCAAGCAGGGTTTTGGCGATGCATCTGGAGAATTTTTCATTGGTCTCGACAACATACACAAGTTGACGAATAGTGGACCATGCGAATTGCTGATCGTTCTTGAAGCCTGGGACAATGAACGTCGGTATGCGAAGTATAACAATTTTGTGGTGGGCAGTGAACGAGAATACTACAAACTTCACAGTTTGGGACAATACAGTGGCACCGCCGGTGATGATTTCTCCTATAATGTGGGTCAGAAATTCACCACTAGAGATCTGGACAATGATTTGCTGCCAAATGCAAATTGTGCGGTACGTTATCGCGGTGCATGGTGGCACACCGCTTGTTATAAATGGTGAGTAATGGGAGAGGGTGTGGGGGAATTAGTTATCAAGAAGACCTTCTGCAGGCCCAGAATACATAGAATAGTTTTCATACAAATAAGAGAGTCCTTCTAGAGACGTTCCTTCTTGGACCTTCTATATAGAAGACCTTTCATGGTCGCTCTATACGGCAGGCCTCCAATGTGTAATATCTTCTATGGGACTTCCATATATATAGAAGACCCCTTTATGGATCTTCGAAAGGCTTCCCAGAGGATTTTCATATATGGAGCAGGTTCTATAGATCGGTTTGTTTGTTTCCTACATAAATACTTCAAACATAACCTGCCTCTAAAAAGGCCTATTATATGGAAAAACTTTAATGGACTTTCAATATATTGAAAAAGTTATTTAGGCCTTTTTTAGTTTTTTTAAAGGCTTTCCATAAAAGACCCCCTATAGGTCTTCTATATAAAATACCTTCTATGGACCTCCCAGACATTCTAGGGGTCCTCCATATATAAAAAATTACTTATGGTCTTCCATTCTTCTATTTATTCTTCTATATATTGAAGTATTTCCACATGCCTTCCATACAGAAGACCTAACACACATGTAAAACCTTTAATAGGCCTTGTATACAGGGTGAGATAAAAAAACTGCAGCAAAGTCAAACGCCATAATTTTTACATTTTTTATTTCTAAATTTTATTGAATGAAACCAAAAAGTGTCGGAAATATCATAAAATTTTAGAATGAGCTTAGATTTGTTCGAATAGGTCACCTTTGGCACGAATTATAGCCTTCAAACGGTCAATGAAACCGTCACACGCCTGAATATTGCTCTGCGGTATTTTGGACCATTCCCGGCGAAGCGCTTGTTTGAGGTGATCGACAATTTGGTATTTTTTAGTGCCAACCTCCAAAATACTCCAGACACAATAGTCCAACGGATTGGTATCCGGAGAATTCAGTGGCCATTGTGCGCTGGAAATGAAGCGAGGAATCTCATCTTGTAACCATTCTTGGGTGGCGCGTGCTGAGTGCGATGGTGCTGAGTCCTGTTGGAATGTCCAATGTCTGCCGCCAACTGCTCATCGGAGAAAACCAAATTCGGCAGTTCAGCACTTTCGGCCAAGCGAAGCAACTCTTTAGCTCTTTTGAGTATATTATCTTTCTGTTGTGGTGTAAATTCTTACACTTTTTCGAATTTCAATGCCTTTACCCCGAGCTCATTTTTCAATATTTGCCGAATGGAAAATTGCGATATGTTCAGCTCATGAGCCATTTTCGGCCACTGCGATGCGGGTTTCGATCATGTCGCTTCTTGACTTTTCGAACCATTTCTGCTGATGTTGCTCTTTTCTTCCGTCCACTTCCTTGACGTCGGGCTACGCTACCAGTATAACGGTAACGAGCGGTGCTACGAGACACAAAAGTTTTATTCACATTTCCAGCCAAATATAAAGAAATCACACCATCACGTTTGAATTGCATCACGAATAACTTTTTTTCTGGAAAATTCTCTTCAAAATGCTTGCGTACGCTTGTAAGCAATATAATGAGCTGTCACTGGAATAATTTTAACAGCTATTGGACGAGTAGTTTAGAAATAAAAAACAGTCTGAAGTTGGTTGCAGTTTATTCATCTCACCCAGTATATATACGGGCCTCGTATACAGAACTTATATAGGCCTTGAACATATATACGATCTTATATAAACTTCATATATAAGGCCTCCTGTATTTGTATATAAAAGACCTTCTACAGTCCTTACATAAGAAGGACACTATATGGGCCTTCATATATAGAAGACCATTCATAAATCTTGTATAATGACCTTCTACTAGTCTTCCATGAAAATTCCTATAGTCCCCTTATGAGCACTTCATACAAAAAAAAAACTTTGAATTGATCCTCCATATTAAGAAGACCTACCACAGGACTTTTAAATATAAAATACCTTCATGGGATT